AATAAATACATATATTGCCATCTTTATGTGTTTATGTATTGCTCTGGTAAGCCTACATAGAACAAAACATCAAAGCAGAATTTGCAAAACAACATTGCATTTCTTGGAGACATCCATTGTATTCAAGTGTATGAACATAATTGATTAAATATCTCTAAATCTAGAGCCAATTACCTAATTTGAAGATCATTTTGGAATTCAGCATGCCAAAATACATCAAAATTGGCACATTTCATTTCTGAAGTATTCAACTTGTGAAAAATTGTAGACTAATGTTATCACTGCAGAAATTGGAATCGGTGAACTAAATTCAAATTTCAACCAAATCAGTTGCATTCAATTTTACTTTTTGGCAAGGCATGAATCCATCATTTCTCTTGCTCCAGCTATAGGTTAAATAGCAGTATAGACCTGGCTATCTAGCATTGAGTGGCAACCAGTCCAGAAGATCAACTCTGAATTCAAAATCATCAAGAAGGCAACAGAAACCTATTCCACTATCTTTCCCAAGAAGCCATGGCAAATCACAGATAAGGAATCTATGGAGAGCCATGATTCTCTACATTCTGCAAAGTCATGGCATTAAAAATTTCTTTTAAAAAATAATATCAAATTATAAATTACCGTCAGTGAATTTGGCTTGATTATGATAGTTTGTACCAGATTCAGAATCTGAATTGGTACGTGACACTTCACTGACTTCAGAGACAGAGTCTGGTTCAGTCGGTCGCATTGGGTATGTTTCTTCCACCCCGTCAGACATAATCTCAACATCATGATCGATTTCTTCAGGAGTGTGTGGTCCGATTACAATTCGAGGAGCTGTTAAAAAAGAAAAAAAAAGAAGGAAAAAAGAATAAATCATTCTTATTACTTGAACATACAAAAAGTAAACTATAACACAAGATACGTATAGAAAATAATATTAAAAAGAAAAGAAAAAATTATAACATTTTCCCAATTCTGGAAAAATAAACAGAAAAGTATAATTGATGCAAAAGTTCTCAGCCTTACTTTGTTAGGAAAATTTTAGAAATGTCTTTGACCATTAATGTTTGTGCAATCAATCAACTGTAATACCTTTTTTTATTTTTTATTTTTTACAAGCCCCAGGTCTAATATATATGCTAAAAAAGTTAGATTTATATGAACTTATGGAGACAAATATTTGCCATGTCTTTCTCTTTTGTTCTATAGAAGAAAATGTCATAACAAAACAGTTGGTGGTAATGAAATGAGAACCAAGTATGAAGGAGAGCTGACTCACTTCCCAAAATCTAACCAAATGACCAAAGATCAGACTGATTTTTAATGATCAGGCCGAAAACTTTTCAGCACCAAGCTTTTTTTTTTTACATTTCGCATTCATCCCAAGCAAAAGAGTAAAGCCACTAAGACACAAGGTGTTACTAGATGTGTAAGGTTTAGAAAACAGAAACATTACTAATAGGCTAGAACAAAAGAAGAGTAATCAAGAAAACAGTTGATAGTGATTGACATTGTATTTAAATTTTTGAAGACTAGAATTTTTTGGCACTACACTAAGGTGTGTTGAAAACCTCACAGTATTTAGTATTTTTGAAGTTATCGCTAACATTTTTGTTGAGATTTACAAACTCTACGTTTTGTTCAATTTCACAAACCAATCAATGAAATTTGAATAAGCTAATTTATTTGGAAAAATATTTTGACAAAAACTCTACTTCGTGGTTTTTACACAGCCTAGTAAAACCAATTGTAGTTTGTACCCTCTTACCTGTTTGCACTTCTTCCCAAAATTTGGTTTTGATCAGTGAGTATATGGTAATTAAATGGTATGATGGATGGACTAAAAGAAGTCAGAGAATTTTATATATAGATAGATTGACTGGAAAAATGGAGCCAGGAGGGAGTTCCACAAGCAAGAAATGCAAGAAAAGAAACTATTAACATAGAACTTATGGTTACATCTAGCCAATTCAATGGAAAATGATGGGAACTTGCAGTCAATCTAGTACTATGCTTAAATTCATAAAGTCTAAGTATCATAGCAAAGAGCTCATCAAAAACATTGCTCTAAAAGTATTTACAGAAAAGACACTGGGAGGCAACTTTATTACAATTGTAATCATCGCTTTTTATAACAATCAAAAGTGCCAAAAAGTGAAGGTAGGTAGAATAAAAGTGGTATCATGAGAAAAAAAAAAAAAAAAAGTCGTCCTTTTGACACTACATTTTTTTTTTTTTTTTAAACCACAAAGGTTCATGTTTGCCAAAAATATCTATTTAATGTTATTTATTAAAATCTTCATTATGCCATCATATGAGTCCGGAATGTATCCAGCCATTATGAATAATCTGAGAACTGGTTGTATGTTCTTGACTGATCAGTGGACACTTGCCTGCACATACATTAACAGACACTTCCCTATGGACTTACTTAATTGACAGTGTACTGTGTGAGTGTTCCATTCACAATGGCCACATGAATAGATCAGTTTTGTATAAGTTTTTTTTTTTGTTTTTTGGTGTTTTTTTTTACAAAGCACAGAATCGCCCAGGTCAGTCATATCAACATCCATCGACCTTCACAATAACTTGCAACTTCTGGATTGATTGTTTTAGTTTATAGCATATCAACATTTTCCTGATTATTTAATGCCAAATTCTATCATTCTGATAAATAATAGATAGACATATGTCTAGTTTGCATAGGAATCCAAAAAGGTATATATATATATATATATATATATATATATATATATATATATAGAGAGAGAGAGAGAGGAAACAGGTGACGGCTTCTTTGGAGGATTATTCATTTGCATGGGGATGCAGTTGGTGTAACTTTTGAATTGAAAGAGTGAAAATTTCACACTATAGACAAGATAGCAGATGGCAATCACAAAACATGGCTTTGCAGACATTTTTGAAAAGTGGAAAGAATGCTGGGATAAATTTGAAGGTGACTAAGGTGCCACTTCCCTAGGTAGGCTATTTTTTTGTGAATATTAAATGCTTGGATTATTTTCAGACAGACATCACCTGTATTCACACACATATATATAAACTTAGCTTAGTAAATATCTACCCAAACACACATCCAATACACGCAATATGGGAAATCTACTTACGTCTTTCATCTGGTGACCGTTTCCTAGGTCGTGATTTGGAATCCCAACGTTCGCCATGGTCATGGTGCCGTCTTTCACGACTTGGGCTTCGGCTATGGAAGTGTCGTTCTACACGCCGTCTTTCAGCTCGTTCCATTTCTGCATGAAAAAAAAATAACAAAAATTACTAACAACTTATTTTAGTCTGCATATTCACAACTAACATCTCAAAAATAATTTGACACATTTGCAAACAATGAATGAATTTCAGCCAACGTCCTATTCAGTTTGGTTTGTTATACGACAGATCAACCTCGATGAGTTATTTAATGCCAACAATTTTTATTGCTGGTAATAATTTTTTCCTTCAAAAATCTATTTCAAGTAATATTAAAAAAAAAAAAAAAAATGTATAGCTGGTAATATTTTTTTTTTCTTCCAAAAATGTATAGTTGTTGTTTTTCAAACTATTGATAAATAGTTTGAAAAACAACAACTATACATTTTTGGAAGAAAAAAATTATTGGTAATAAATTTTTTTTTACAAAGTACTTCTCATATTAAACCCTATTTTTACACTTTCATAGTATTTTGACCCAAGTTTGGGGGTTAACTAATTGCCCATTGCTGGGACCCAAACAGGTGCTACCACCCCAGGTCAGGGTGGACCTGGAAACACCAGCAATTAAAAGGTGGTTCTGCTCTCCTCAAAACCTCCTGATCAGAAGCCTGTTGGTTGAAGTTTATTGTCTTACCCGAGATGCAGATGTAGTTTATCATCATGCCCAGGACAGCATCCTATTCAGGATTTCATGTTTACCACATTTGTGTACAACCTAACCCCATATTTTTATATGTAAAAAAAATTTTTTTTTAAATGAATATATTTTATTTTTCTTGTATAATGAATACCTTACCAGGCATGGAAGGTTTGAAATGATTAATTTCCTCTTTTCATGACACTGTATGATTAAGATTTCAAATACTATCTATTAAAACTATGGTTGCTTAAAAGTTGGATGAGACAAAGATTTCTCCTCAAGCATATCTGTTTGATAACAATTACTTCACTGGGATGATTAAACACACAATTCAACATATTACTCATGTATAATTCAAACATTCTATTTTACCTTTGATTTTGATACAAAATTATTACTAACATTATTATAAAAAAAAAAAAAAAAAAATCATTTATTCAAAGAATATGCACCTGGTGTAATGGATAATGACTCTGTCAATTGGAGAGCCAAGTACCAAATTCCAGTTGGATTTGTTATTTTCATTTACACACAAATACTCTTGAGAAAGGTATAAATCCACTTATCCTCCCCAGCTATGGGTTAATTAGTAAGACTTGTAGCACTTAAACCATTATTATATCAAAAAATAAAATTGTGCATAAAACATTTAGATTTCAGCATTAAATAACCCATAGAGATTGATGTGCTGCTAAACAAAACCAAACAACCAATCATTTATTCAAACTTTTTTTTTTCTGCAAGACAATTGCCCTGTGGATATTTGTTGAAGTTGACCTGCTGGTTGTGAGTTCAATCCCTGAATCAGGCAGTAGAATCCATATACTTTGGTTCAGTCAAAAAAGCAGAGGCAGTATCTTCTTTTTTCTATGTGCAGTGGACATAGAAAAAAGGACATGGACGATTAAGTCTCCACAACTTCCCATCCCATGTAACTATTAGTAACATTGTTTCTCTTTTTGCAATCCCCCCTCATTCCACCATCTATTCACACAAACTGATCAGGTAGGTGACCTGTTTCCGTCTCTTCCCTGTCCCTAACAAAATAGTAATATATTCCCTACCATAGGCAGTGAAATGAGTAGTTTACCAATGTGATTTGGTTTAATATTTCAAGAATGTTACCAATTGCAACAAACACCTGGATTATGGCCATATCACATTAAAACACCAGTTCTCATCTGATCACCAAAGTTAAGCAATGTCAAGCCTGGTCAGTACCTAGATGGGTGCCCATTTGGGAATAGCTGGTGCTGCAAGATTAGATGTGCATTTGGTGTAATGGCTCAGAACCTGAAATTGGAGAGTTAAGTTCAGGTTCAAAATTCATTATAGTCATTTACGCATTTTGATTACCACTGTGAAAAGGTATGAATCAACTTCTTCTCTCCCAGCTATGGGTCAAGTAGTAGAACTTGTATCAGTAAATCACTATTATCTCCAAATAATTCTTACAATCCCAAAATATTTTTGTGACTTTAAATAACCTGCAAAAAAAGCTTTTAAAAAAAAAAAAATCAATCAATCAACAGACACCTGACGAAGGCTGAACGTAAAATGGGTGAAACATTGTAAATATAACAACCAAGATGAGTACAACAGTTTGAATAAACCAGTATATAATAATTTCTTGTTTCAGAAATTTAAACAGAAAATTTCTAAATTTGTACATAAATAAATAGTGATCAACTTTCATCCTTAATCTATAAAATTTTCAGGATTAGGAGGCAAATTTTATAGTTTAAACAAAAAGAAGAAAAAAACATTTATAAAGCAACAATTGTTCCCTTTGAACAATGAAGTTTTGTTTTAATGTAATCATAAAGTCCCAAAAATTGCCTGCAAGGTAAAATTTTGAAGTTACCTTCATTTCAGTTTTTGATACACCACGTCTCTCCTCTTTCTTGTGCTGTTGTCTTTCACGTTCTTTTAGTTGTTCCCAATTTCCGCTGTTCTCTCATCCGACGTTCTAGTTCAAGCTTCTCCAAACGCTCCCTGAAAAGTTTGGCAAAAAAAAAAAAAAATCTGGTTAAAAAATGCAGCTATTAAACTATTCAGAACAATTGCCCTTTTAATAGAATTACTCTATTTAACTTCTCTCAATCTCTGAATGTGAAAGCGGTAACTATCAAGCACATACCATAATTACTCAGGGTAGGCAGTTAGTCAAACTTTATAAAAGCAAATTGTCAACAAAAGCCTTATCACTCTAAGTGAATATCACTTGAATTTTCATATAAATTTAAAAAAAAAAAAAAATTAAATTTTTTGTATTTAACCCTCATTACAGTGAATACAAGTTGCCTTTCTCATTTGTTATCACTCAACTGTAACATGTAACAACATTCCACAAGTCAGTTGACATTGAAAGGTATGAGAATATTATCCCTGTCTAAACCTGGATATAACAATTTACTCAAGTATAGATTGAATTTAGGACATTAAAAATACAAATCTAAAAATGAATTGAAAATATTTTACTTTTTTATATTTGATAATTAACTTGAATAATTTTATTCAGAGTAGATACTGTCTACATTGCATATCCAGACAACACTTCTAGTGTGCGTGTGTGTGTGTGTGTGTATATATAAAATAATAAAATTCATTTTCTAATTATACGTTATTTTTATAGATAGTTAAAATTTATTTAAGTAAAGGGTCTGTTTTTAATTAAACAGTATTAATTACATTTACCATCCTGAATGCTTGGGAAATTTTATAGAAAATATGCATTCTTCTCTGTAGCTAAATGGCATAGCACGTCAGATCAAATAACAGTTTCCATATAGGAATACAGGTGCGCTTCCTGTCAGAGAATGTATATTTTCTATGAAATTTCTCAAACATTCAAGCCGGTAAATGTAATTAATACTATTTAATTAAAAAAAACAGAGCATTTACTTAAATAAATTGTATCTATAAAAATAACATATAAACAGAATATATATTAAATAATTGCTGGACTTAATCCATTTCAATATATATATATAAACACTGTCAAAATGACCAAGAAGGAAATTCTGCAACTTCGTGAATCTCCCCAGCCTCTATTTTAACAACTTGAAAGATGTTGTTTGACCAACACAAAGACTGACCAAAATTAATGATAAAAAAAAACAAATGAAAACTACAGATAAAGTTCATTTTCTTCATAAACAGTCATTCACTGCTACTAACAAGCAGAAATTTTTTTGAATACCTGAAATTTTTTTTTTTTCTCCTGATGATGGCCATGCTGGCCAAAACTAGTTGAGGAACCTAACTGAAATAATAAAACAAAAAATATTAATATACAACCCAGTGTGTCTGAAAATTTTTTTTTTTTTTATTGTTCAAAACATACACACAGACATATATATATATATATATATATATATAGGATAAGGAACAAATAGGAAACGTCTATAACTTTAACAGGTTTAACTTTTATTTAAGTTTCATCATAAAAATGAAATATGGAGGAGAAAAAAAATTCTGTTGTTTTTATTTTTTGATTTGTTTGTTATTCATTGATTAAGCAGTGTTTGTGATTATAATTCTTGTGTGTCTGTGCATCACACTTCTAATTGGTCCATGCAGGATTTGGTTGATAATGCTTGCATACATTTGAGCATCTAGTATGCATTTTTATTTAAGTCTGGTAGTGTCTGTATGTTGATTGGAGGATGTTTTGTGTGGCAGTGAAAGAATTTAGGTTACACCAGTTGTGGTTGTAGGTAGATAGATTCTGTAAGTATTAAGTACAGATTTTATAAAATTAGGTGATATAAAAGTGCGTTTTGATGTGTTTTTACTGATAGTAAAATATTTATCAGGATTCCTTCTAAGTATTTTCTACATAATAAATTATGTTCTTTTCTAATTATGATGGCATTTATTAAATTGAAATTATGGCCTGTTTATTTCTGTGTTACAAAAGCAAGTTCAGTGTCCCTCCCCACTCGTCTGCCTAAAAAAATCAGCATAGTACCTGTACACTCCACCTAACTTAGTACTTGCAAGTTAATCTTACCATGATGTTTACCTACTGAATACATCACTTGCCGAGTTACCTCTGGATCAGGATTCACTTCTTATTTTATATATTATTTGTTTACATTATTACAGCAAAAAAACCGCTGGCAAATGTTTACAAATACATGTGGTGTATTATATATAAACTTTTTGTACCTGTGAATATTTCAAAATTTTCTTATTTGAATTTTCTGATAAATCTTAATTCTTAAGTTAATGATTGAATAAGCTGATGGCAAGTTCTGCAACAATAAAATATCTGTAGAAATTCCCTTATCACATCGTTAAATATTTAAGCTTAACAACTTTAACAAAATATTGCAATAACAATCATAAATATGAATGTTGGTCATTATTTTAAAGTGGTACAAATGAAAAGACTTGAAATTGACATTTTTTCTATTTCACTGAAACAGCCATTAAACACTTCTATCTTATTTTACCTTTTCTTTCTTTTTTCATTCATTCATTCATTCACTGAAATCAAGTAGTGTCTTTTTCCCCTTTTCCACATAAAAAATGGAATAGTCCATTATTTATGAGGTATTGGCAGGAGACATTAAATACTTCTATCTTCCCTTCTTTCTTTCATTTTCTCACTGAAATAAATTAGCATCTCTGATATGTCTTTTTCTGTCTTTATGTAAATGCAATCAAAATGGAATAGTCCATTATTTATGAGGAATTGGCAGGACATAACAGTTGTGCTAACTCAGGGAGGGATAAACTGAATTATAATAAGATTAATTTTTTTTTAAATGTTGACATTATCAAAAAAAGGTAGTCTTAATAATAGTACAAAACACAAATATCAAACTGTAGCATATCTTTTAAAATAAACACTTATATATATATATATATATATATATATATATATATATATATATATATATATTTATTTATAATTATTCTTTCAGACAAATGTTATTAAGAACAGACATTACATACCAATTAATTTTATTGATTAAAATTTTTAAAATTATGAATAATCCTTCTCAGAAAAGGAGACAATTCCATCAAAACTTGTCAAAATTTCATTTTGGAAAAAAATATATCCAAGCTTTTAACTTTTTTTAAGTCATAATCAGGATAGATAGACTTAAGAAAGTCAAAAACCTTGGACCATATTTCTTCCAAAATGAACTTTGGGCAATTTCTGATGGAAAACTTCATCCTTATGATGAATCAATAAAATTAATCAACACAAAATGTCTTTTGTCTTTAATAACATTCAAATTTTTAATTGCTTTTTTTTTTCTTTTTTGGGGAGGGGCTAAAATTATTGTCATTTATAATTCAACCCAAAATGAAGATATGACGTTCACCAATTTCTTTCTTGAAAATACTTACCTCTTAAATGACAATTGATTCTTTATTATAACGAACCTCATGGAGGCTTCGTCCCTTCATCCGACGTTCACGTTCTTTTTTTTCTCTTGTCGCTGAAGTTCCCTGTTATGTTTTTCTTTTCCCATCGAAATCACCATGTAGTCTGTAATCTAAAGAAAATAAAAAAAATGCATTAATTGTACAATGCAATAAATATTTTTTTAAATCCAAGTATTTATAAATACACGTATCTATATAGGCAACTATTCTAGATAGAAATTCAAAAACACAATCCAATCTACATTAAAACAAACAAGCAATTGGATAATGTTAAACACTGAACAGATATATCAAAGAGAAGACAGGGCAATAACAAAAAAAGTTTCAAAAATGGACAGCACTTAAGAAAATATGCAACACATGTTTGATTTGATGGTACCTTGAAGATTGATTTTTGCCAGCTGTTGACTGGACTTCAGACAAATAAATGATCACATGAATTACACATCTTCTATATAAGGGGTGCTAAAAATTCTTAGCTTAAAAAAAAAAAAAGTCCATGGTAATGATATGATTAACCGTTTCTATGTTAAATAATAGTTCAGCAGACTATTATTTTTAGGGGAAGTGTATAAGCTGTTCCAACTCCCCTGTGGTTGACATTTGAGGTCAGATGGAAGACAAAACAAGGAAGTAGATTTTGATTGACTGAACCAGCAAGGGAAATAGATAGAGAAAGGATCTCAGGGATAAGTCTAAACCATCAAAAAATGTAAACGTGTTTTTTCATGTCTGAAACATCTTCCCAGTGGAGGGAGAGCAAACCTACTGAATAGGTAGACATGTATACATCAACATTAATAAAATAGCTAGTTAAAATTCCATGTTGAAGTTCTTTTTATCTCTGAATCAA